TCGGGATATTTGGCTCCCCATGGGTGCTTTATGACGAGACTTACGTCGGGCGATAACCCCTAAACCCTAACCCTAAAACCTAAAACCTAAACCCTAAACCCCTAACCCCTAAACCCCAGCCCCTAAACCCTCAACCCTCAACTAGAAGAGAGTTGGGGAGCCATGGGTCGGCCCCTAAAACCCTAAAGCCCTAGAACCCTGGAAACCTAAACGCTAAACCCTAAACCCCAAACCCCAAACCCTAAAAACCCTTAAAACCCTAAAAACCCTGAACCCTAAACCCTAAACCCTAAACCCCGATTCAGGTTTGGACTTACCTCCCCTGTCCCCGTCGCAGGACGCTTCGAGCGATATCTGGCCGAGATGGCCCAGGACTTTCAAGCCTAAGTTCACAGAGAAGGGTTTAGGGTTTAGGGTTTAGGGTTTAGGGTTTAGGGTTTAGGGTTTAGGGTTTAGGGCTTAGGGCTTAGGGCTTAGGGGCTTAGGGCTTAGGGTTGAGAGTTTAGGGCTTAGGGTTTAGGCAGCTTTTCACACGAATCAGTGTTTAGCTTGGAGTCCCGAGTTTACTTCACGTTCCAGGGCCTCGGGGAGGAGCACTCCGTCGAAGAGGTCTGTTCGCGTTGGAACGTGAGTTGAGGCTCTGACACAGGATCCTTGCAGGAAGGAATCTGGAAGCAAGTTCCTTTGATTATCGGAACACTAAACCCTCAACACATGAAGGGGTTTCCCTAGTTCAGGGATTGCGGAAGCTGTGAGGATTTCATCTGGTCTGAAGAGGAACTCGCCCCCACCGCTGTGCTAGGGTAATGCTTGGCAACACTTCGTGGCGTTAGTGTGCATGTACCCTAAACCCTAAACCAAAAACGAAATCCGGCACCCTCATTGGGGGTGTTTTGGGAAAGCCCCCCTCCCCCACCCCCTTCCCTTCAGGACGGCACGTGGGGCGACCACGTGACGCTGCAGGCCAGGGTCAGGGCTTTAAGGCTTTGGGGCTTAGTGCTTTAAGGCTTATGGCTTTTTGGCTCTACGTAGGGCTTTCGGGTTGAGGGCTTTAGGGTCTTTACCGGCACCAAGTTGGAAGATGGTTTGCTTGCTTAAGTGTAGACGCCTAGTTATGCATACTTTGTGAGATGGTTGAAATATATACCCTAGCTCACCCGAAAACCCTTCCCAACACCCTGAGAGACACGCTGCTTCCTCTGCAAGGCTGCCGCGGACACGCTGGGCGTGAGGTGGGGTGCTTCGAGTTTGGGGCTTGAATTTGGGGTCAGCCAGAGGGAGCTTGGGCTCCTTCCGTTTCCGATTCCGTGGTCGTGAAGGGATATCGGGTTGAGGGTTTGGGGAACCCCAAGCTCCAAAGCCCGATTTCGGGCCCAGGGGTTCTCCAATACCTTCAAACCACAGAGTGCCATGACCCAAATTGCAGACACCCCCAACCATAAACCCCAAACCCGAATCTCCAAAGGAAGACCTTGGGTTTCGGGTTTTTATCCCTGAAAATTCCCGAAGCGCTGGCACCTGGCCCCTTCTCATGTCCTGTGAAGGATCCCTTATGTGCCCTGGCCCTCCTTCGCCAGGCCCTCCTTCAGGGTTCAGGGTTCTGGTTTAGGGTTAAAGCCCACTGAGGATCCACGTTCTGACGGACTTCCTGGATCAGGCGTACATCCAGGCTTTGAAAGACCGAATATCCCCCCCCCCCCCCCCCCCCCCCAAAACCTTCAAGGGCCCTGAGGGAGATCGGAGCCCTGGGCCCTGTGTACACCTTCCATTTGGGGTCGGTCGAGACCGCGCTCGGGCGTTTATTTAGGAGGGGGTTTAGGTTGGTACCCTAAAGAAGCCTACTGCAAAGAGTACCTAAACGGGGCCTAGAACAAACCCGATATGCCGAAGACAACGTCATGCTTCCATGGCAGATTGAAGTCCAAGTTTGCCTGCTGTAGAGCTGGTCGTTCATCCTGCACGTCATTGTAACGACCCGTTGTTGGCTAGAGTGTTTTCCGCGCAGAGAGAATCCAGGGCTTCTACAATACGCCCCTGTACCCCTCACATACTGCAGTACTTTGGGAAACCGCAAAGCCAAAACGGGACCGTAGTGTAGACCCTCAACCTCAGGTTTAAACCCGAAACCCTAAACCCCAAATTCCGAGACCCCAAACCCTGCACTCTTAACTCCGTAAACCCCAAACCCTAAATCCTAAAAGTCCCCAAGCTGCAAGCCCTAAGCCCCATACCCCGAAACTCCCCAAGCTCCCACAGGTGCAGCCGCAGCGGCAGAAGAGTAGCAAGGCACCGTTGTTTGGGGAGGGGGGGTTTAGGGTTTAGGGTTTAGGGTTTAGGGTTTAGGGTTTAGGGTTTAGGGTTTAGGGTTTAGGGTTTAGGGTTTAGGGTTTAGGGTTTAGGGAGGACAACTCGGTTGATCGCGGACCTCGCAACGTTGTTGGTTGAACCTTCCCCCACAGCCAGAAGGGTTTAGGGTTTAGGGCTCTCAGACCCCAAGCCCTAAACCCTAAACCCTAAACCCTAAACCCTAAACCCTAAACCTAAACCCTAAACCCTAAACCCTAAACCCTAAACCCTATAAACCCTAAACCCTAAACCCTAAACCCTAAACCCTAAACCCTAAACCCTAAACCCTAAACCCTAAACCCTAAACCCTAAACCCTAAACCCTAAACCCCAAGCCCAAGAGCTTCAACCCCCACCCTAAACCCATCGAAGACCAAAGCTCTACAGCCCAAATCGTCTTAGGGCCCAGGCCTTGGACCTCCAGGGGCACGCTAAAGCGGCACCTTTGTACCCCCTCATAAGCCCCAACAGCTGAAGTAGGCTTTTGAGGGTTGGGGGCATCCAAGCCTCTACCCTAACAACCCACCGAAACTCAGCAAGCTCTGAACCTTCGCAGCCCGAACGCCTCCAACCCACACCCTATGCCCCCTTCCCCCAGGAAAGAACAGCCTAAACCCTCAGCCCTAAGCCCTCAACCCTAAAATCACCCTAATATAGGGGTCGGCATAATTGCAAATAGTATTCCCTTCTGGTCCCTATAACATTGACTACAACACTGCAACCCCCAAAACCCTCTTCCGCGCTGCTTTTTGCGGGGACGGCCCGGTCCCACAAAACGTTTTGTTGCTGCGCTTAATCATTTTCGCAAATTTAGAGATGCTTTGGAGCATGCTCATCAGATGCAGCTGCTTGGCAATTTACAACGGCCGCCATAATTACTGTCCAACCCACTTGGACAGCAGGCGAGCAATGCCGTCTTTTGCTCGAAGCTTGTCCACTTCTCTGTGGAACCGCGCAATCGATTGCGTTCCTGTCTTCGTGCAACTGATGTTGCTCATAATGTTTTTTCTAGATGGCACAAGCAATCTCTGGACGTTGAAGCTTTGTTGCCGCGCATTGTTGACACTTTGTAACATGCCAAAATGATGTATTCCTCATTGGAGTGTACACAAATCACTCCCGTTTCGCTTTCATCGCATCGACCTCGGTCCGAATCACATGCCCCAAAACCCTATTCTAATCATTTACGCCCCCATAGTACACCCAACCTCGACCAGGTACTCAAGCTTTGCTTTTGGGCGGAGGCGCGTTCCTTACGGGGCCTCCCATCTAGAAAGAGGGTAGGTGAAGGGTTGGTGAAGGGTCGAAGGTTTTGGAGCTAGGGGTTTTGGGCTCAGCGGAAGCCCCCCAAACCCCTCGAATTCCTGAAGGTTTCTTAAATCTTCTCCCCAAGCCCTCAACCGTCTGTCAGGTACAGATAGCTCTAAGTATGGTACAACCCACGTTGCAGCACGGCACATGTAACCCTCAATAAGGTATCCTAAGCCGTAAGCCCTGAACCCTAAGCCTTAAGGCTCCCTAAGCCCTGTTTGCGGTGGAGAGCGTGGCGTCCCAGACCTTTGGGGGGGGACCCTAAACCCCAAAATTTTTTCGCGCGTGTCGCAGGTTCACTACAACTCCGTGGCGGACAGAGCCGACGGGCAATGCCCCTTCTGAGAGCTTCCTGTAAAAACTGGAGCTTCAGGGTCATAATGCCTCAAAACCTTACCTCTTCATCGAAACCCTCAAAGCCTGACCCCATCTAAACCCTGAATCCTCAAAGCCTTAAAGCCCTAGCGCCACCAATGGACCCCTATACCCGAACATCCCAAACCCTTAAGCCCTATGAACCAAGAAACACAACACAGAAAACCCCCAAGCCTAAACCCCATAAATGCTAAACCCGAAACCCCTAAACCCCCACAAACCTCCCTAACAAGCCCTCCCAGGGCCCCCAAAGCACCCTAAACCCCGTAAGCCCTAAAGCTCCGAAACCCCTGTCAACCCAACAGCTCCTAAACGCAGTCCGTAACCCTAACAGCAACACCCCAACAAACCACAAATGCTCCTAAACCCTAAACCCAAATGAAGCAGGCATATATGGCTCCTGATTGATATTGGTGAGTGTATATATATATACATACATAGTGGCTGTCCTTTTCGGGGTACTAACATGAACCCGAAACCCATATCCATAGACCCCAAAAACTCCGCCCTGAAGTACTCGTTGCGACCCGCCAATGCGCCAGACCAGGCTCACGCCCTAAACCCTAAACCCTAAACCCTAAACCCTAAACCCTAAACCCTAAACCCTAAACCCTGAACTCTAAACCCTCAACCCTCAACCCTCAACCCTAAACCCTCAACCCTAGATATGCCCGTTGCCAGTGCTGTGGCCTCTCCGGGGTGCCGGGGGTTGGGGGGTGGTGGGCAAAAAGTAGAAGATTAGAGGTGGGCGCGAATATAGACCCCCAAATAGTAGGATTTCCTTTAAAGTAAGGACCCGAGTAGGTCCCCCTAGTGTCGGAAACCCGCACAGTATGTCATATGAAGCAGGGTTTATATTACTGCTTTTGGTGAGTGTATATAAGGTTCCTTTTTAATATTGGTGAGTGTGTATATTGGGTGTCCTTTTGGTACTTCATATGATTATAGTATAGTAGCCCTCGGGAGCAGGTGCAGACGGATGAGTCGGAGCGCTCTCGGGGCTATGGATTCGTCCACTTTGCCGAGAAGGCCTCAAGATAGAGCCACCAGAAAATGGGGTGCCATGGGTTATTTGAGGGTTCAGGTTTGGGGTTTGGGGGGGTTGGGGGGGTTCGGGGTTTGGAGGTTGCTTTTCAGTTCACTGGTTTTGGCCTCGGGCATCTTGGATCTTGCGTCTCACATGAATAGCAACAGTAGGTGATGCTCACTCCATTTAAAGACTGACCTCGAGAGATTGCGCGCTCAGGTGTGTGTACACATGTGTGCAGAATAGCCTGCAACAAGGTTACATGTGGGTCTTATGCTCAAGTGCTAGCAAAACATGGCTTCACATCTGTCACAGCAGCAGCAAAGAATCCGTACTCCGTGGGGTTAAGCACTTCCCATGCCTCCATTTTCTACGCTGCCGACTCAGCAATGCCAGGATGCACTGGCAGACTGCAGGCAGAAGATGTTTCACGGAAACTTATCTGAGGCCAAGGATGCCTGGATACATACACTTCAGCTGGCCAAGAACCTTCAAGACATACCAGCTCAAATGCAGGCATTGCGGGGGTTGGGAGTGTTGTATGTGAATGTGAACCAGAGCGATGACGCTTGTGCTGCCTATGAGGAAGGAATTACTCTGGCTCGTACGGTTGGGGATTCTGTTGAACATTGCACCCTGCTGCACAACAGGGGGTTTGCCCTTCTGCGGCGGGGGTGCCCAGAGGTGGCAGCAGAAAGCTTCTTGGAGCGTAGAGGATTGTGATGCAAGGGAACAGGAAGAAAGCGCAAGAACGATTGAAGTCGTGTTACAAAGCTCTCATTGAGCCAATTGAGCATCTTCTAGCAAAGGAGCAGCATCTGATCATCGTTCCAGACCATCACTTGTGGATGCTGCCATTCGCAGCACTTCAGCTTCCAGCTGGTAGCTATGTCATCGAGAGCTTCTCAGTCAGACTAGCCCCGTCTGTTCAGACTCTGATGCAAATCTCAGAACGCCGTGAGCAGATCTCTCAAACATCAAGTGCCGCTCCGACTGCACTGGTGGTCGGCGTTTCGAGCTTCGCGGGGCATTCTGATTTGAATCTTCAGCCGTTGCCATCAGTCCCGTTTGAGTGCAAGGGGGTCCGTGAAGCATGTGCCCGCGCAGGAATTCTGGTGCAGCAGTTGGTGGAAGATGAAGCCACACCACAGAATTTTGCCGAGAGGTGCTCGGGCGCAACTCATCTGATTCATTTGGCTAGTCATGGCCTCCTGGAGCAGCAGGCCTTGGTCCTGCATGGAAATTCAGTACTGTTTCCGGTGGACATTCAGGCCCTTGCGCTCACAGCCAAGGTGGTTGTGCTCTCTGCTTGCCACACAGGTCGGGGCTCAGTGGGTGCCGATGGCGTCTTTGGTCTAACTCGCTCCTTTCTGGTTGCCGGAGCTGACTTGGTACTGGGGACGTTGTGGCACACTGGTGATGCTTCGACTGAAGTGTTCATGGGCATGTTTTATTCCCACCTGCTTGACAAGAAGATCGCAGCGCACATCGCCATGCAGCAGGCCATGTGCGCGATGATACACGAGACTGATGCTTCTGGCAAGTTAAAGTGGCGGCCGGCCAATTGGGCACCGTTCTTGCTGGTTGGCTCCGTCGCACCACAGGAGAAAGTGAAGCAATGGTGTCAATGGAGGTGATAGCTTCGTATAATACGTTCCCCTTCAATCCCGCTTTGTTGTGTGTTCTACACTGACTGGACTCCTGAAACCTCAATGCGTGCCATGGGTTCCAACACAGAACACTAACAGGAACATACAAGAGCCTTTTCGATAATCGACATGGTGCCATCCAGATGGACAACTGTACCATATCCATAGTTTCTGTGCTTATTACAATGATCAATCCCTTGGGCCCCTGGAATGCTCCAAAAACCTGAAAGACACCCCTGTAAGCGCAAGCAAAGTCATAAAACCCTGTCAAACTTCTGCAGCCCTGCAGTAATATGGTGAATGTTTATACCCGCCCGTCGGACGCTGACGGAACCGCACAAAGCCGCATATTTCACAATCAGCCTCTTCCGCGCTTGACAACACTTCTGCGTATAAGCCCTGAACTCTATGCCCCGAAACCACACAAGCCTCATATCCCTGAAGAAGACCTAAGGCCTTTGTCAGTACCTTTCTTCTTTTCAAGCCCTAAACCCTACACCCTTTTCCCCTACTAGATTACTGGACCCAGTCTTTGTGTAAAGCCCTGCGAAACCTGCACCAACTGCCTGAACCTTGGGCAGGCCCTTTCATCTCCACATCGTAACCTGCACTTGAGCCACCGCAATATCGCAAGAATTCCTCCCCCAAGAGGCCTTTTGGCTGGTTGGGGTTTTGGGTTGGGGGTTTTGGGGCTTTTGGAGTTCAATAGGAAAGTACATGTAGCGAGGCAATCTAAGGCTACCGCCCAAATCCTTCTTCCCAAGGTCCCAAACCCCCCTAAGCCCCCCAACTACAATTCCCGGAACCCCAACCCCACGTCCTAAACCCTAAACCCCTAAGGCCCGAACCCCCCAAGCTCTAATCATGTGTGTAGGTTCCCCTCGAGTTCTTAAAGACAGCAGGTTTGGGTCCTTTTGGGATTTTGGGGTGAGTTTGCACTTTCGAGATTAGGCTGGCCTGCTGCTGTTGTTTTGCAGCACAGCCCGCGCGTTTTCAGTTGTTTGATTGATTTGTTTGATTAATGAAAACAAGCCAGAGTTGTAAATTCGATTTCCAGAACAGTGCCACTGTTTTTTTGTTGAAAAAACCCGAAATATTTTTTTGATGATATTCCCTGCCTTGCATTTTTTAAAACAAAGTTCCATGCACACACACAGTTTGCCTGTCAGATGCTTCAGCTTCAGCCCTTGCATCTTTTTTTAAAATAAATTATGGGATGGACGGCACCGGGCTACTGTTTTGCAATTTTGCACTCAGACTCTGACTGAGATATTAAGCTTTCCAGATTATCCACTGTTTTTTTTGGTCTTTTTGGAATTGCTGGACACACTACTGTACTGCGCTGTGCACACAAGTCACAAGTCACAAGTTACAAGTTGTTACAGTTGTGGTTGTAGCCTACAGGAGTCGCCGAGTTGCTGAGTCGCTACTGCTACTAGCTACATATACTACCAGACGACGCTGTTGCCATTGCTTGCTTGGTTTTTATTGTCATTATGTTGCACGGGCCGCAGCCGGGCCGCCGGGCCGCCCGACGCTTGCAGTAACTTGCAGCTGCTGCGCAAGCCTAGTCTGCCAGGCCAGGCCCTCGGCCCTCGGCTGCCTCTTTCATTTTGTCCAAATAATCCGGTACCAGTTCAAGTTGAACTGGTTAAAAAAACCTGTCAGCGCCGGCCTTTCTCGATCTTTTATGCCGCCAGGAAAGAGGCAATGTTTAGAATCATGCGCCTGCATGATGCAGGATCTCTGGCTCAGTCTGGCTCTGTACAGGGCTGGGCCCAGGCCGGAGTGGGAGCAGAGCTTCTGAGCTTGAGATTAGAGATTTGACAGATGTGTTGCAGATTGTGTTTGCATGTTTGTCATTTTGCATGATTTTTCACGCTGATGTTCAGTTCCTCCGTTTTGAGTCTTGAGACTGAAGACTTGAGTCTTGAGTGGGAATGAGTGAGTGGGACCCATCTTTATACTTCGCAGATTTTTGGCTCGCAATGGCGGCCGCTGCTGTGGGGGGGGCCGGTGGCGGTGATCCGCCTGAGGAGGACTTCAGTGAACTGGGGTTGTGTCCCCGGTAGAAACAGAGGGAGAGAAGTAGCCATTTTGCTAACTTTGCCTCGAGATTCGCGAGGCAAGGAACACGTAGCAGCGATTGGAGTTGAAGTCAGGTGCTACGATGCATCGGAGCTTCTGCTGGTGGGCTGGCTATCTGGCTGCAGTTGGTGGTTCCCGAATTTAGGGGTACCTTATTTACTATTTAGAGGGTCTATTTTGGGGTCCCCTATTTTCGTAAACCCCCAGTTCTCTTAGCCCCCACGCAAGTCGTGAAGTGGTGTGAGGGACTTCTCTTGGTCTCTTTTGTTCTGCATTCTTGCACATCTCCAAACCCATGCAGCTTCAATGCGAAAGCAGGAGAGAAAACCCTAAACCCTAAACCCTAAACCCTAAACCCTAAACCCTAAACCCTAAACCCTAAACCCTAAACCCTAAACCCTCGCAAGCCCCCCGTGATTCATAACGGGGGCGAACCTGAACTTTGAGCTTCGGCGTTGTCCGTGCTCGTACTGTGGAAGTGTCAACTTCGAGAGACCCTGAACCCTAAACCCTAAACCCTAAACCTAAACCCTAAACCCTAAACCAGTGTTCCGGTCAGGAGCATGGGGAATCACTTCGCATGGCACGCCTGCCGCCAGCTGGAGGCAGCACTCTCAGGGTCAGGGGAATTCAAGGATTTCAGAGCCTCTCTTCCTGGGGGGCTCTCTCTTTACCTACACTTGAGTAGTATAGCTACCCTTGATACGTAGGTTTGACCCATAAAACTGTAGGTAAAGAGGGTCCCAGGTTAATCCCACCCGACCCGGCTACAGCTTCACATAGCAAGAAGCCTCAAACTTAAACCCTTAAATCCTTAACCCCTATATCCTAAACCCTAAATCCTAAACACCCCAACCCTTAGCAACAAATGAGCGCGCCGACTGGGGCCGCTGATTTGAAGAAAGTCGAGCAAAACATGGGAAGAACAGTGCAAGCCCGGACACGGGTGACAGGAAGATCATTGGCTGTCGAATGGACTGTTTAACGCCCGCGTCACAACAAGCAATGGCCGAATTTGTGTAAAGAGGCTGAGTGCAGCCCCTGAAGCATAGCTGTGTGTCTAGGGCTCTTGACTGCAGCCCACACTGGGTGACCAAGACTTGCCCGAAGTTGCCCGAAAAACCAAGCCCGGGAGAGCCATTCGGACAACTTACCACCCGGCCCTACTTCACCGCGGTCGGACCTTGGGACAGCTCACGTTTTCCGTTTTTTGTAGGTTTCAGTGGTTTAGGTTTAGGGTTAGGGTATTTTGGAATATAGTTTATCGGAGGGTTTATAGGGCCGTTCTTCACATCGCGAGTCCCCGGGATGTAAAGGAGCCCCAGCGAGCAAGGATGAGTCTTCTGCCCCCTCAGGATTTTGTTTATGTTTATGTATACAAAAAACCCAAGAGAATTTCCAAAAACATGTTTTAAGTAAGGTTCTATATGGGGAGTATAGGAGCAAGGCCCAAGCAGGGTCCATCGCCAAGCATGAAGACCGTCCCCAAGGAGGCAGAGTGCAAAAGGCTTTCCTCTCATCCTAAACCCTAAACCCTCTAACCTTAAACCGTTTATCCTTCTAACCCTAAACCTTTGAACCCTAAACCCGAAACCCTTCAGCCCCAAACCCTAAACCCTCTAGTCCTAAACCCTAAACCCTCTTCCTGAACCTCTCTCGAGAGGCACTGGGAATCCCTCCCCGTGGCATTTGCACCTTGGATGACCGGTGCCTCGAATGGAATGGGGTTTAGGGTTTAGGGTTTAGAGTATAGGCTTTAGGGTTTAGGGTTTAGGGTTTAGGGTTCAGCCAAGGTCCGCCAAGCCTTCGTTCGAAGAGTTGGATTGGGAGTGCAAGGCCCAAACACGGCACCTTGGCTAAGAGCTTATGACGGTTTACAAAATTTGGGATATTTTGTATTTTCCCTTTTTGGGGGTTTGGGGTTTAGGGTTTAGGGTTAGAGGACTGGCTACGAGGGCCTTATAATCCCCAGAATCAACCCTATAAATGGGCCTTGTTAAGGGATCATAACGTATGCTAGCGCATTCCTTATAATCCCCATAGTCAACCCTATGAAGAGCCCTTCAGAAGGAATGAAAACGGTATAAGAGCCCATCCTGGTGTCACGATCCTTCAAACACAGACCCAGACCGTCAGACCTATGGCCAGAACACACCAGCCGCCACCTTGGCCTGGGCCATGTGGAGTCCAGGCTCAGAATGCTTTTGGTGAGTTTTTGCACAATGCATCTTTTGCAGGGCCTGGGCTAGTGTCGTGCTCAAATATTCAGTACACTCAGTAGACCGCCCAGCCCAGCAGTGCTCCAACTCCAGCTTGCATGACGACCGCATCCACCGCATCATTAGGCGCAAAGTCGAAATGGCTCATCGGCTCACACGCTGCCACATGCTAGAAGTTCCAAGCCTACAAGTCCAAACCAAAACAAGGGACTTCAAGGGACTGGCTCCAGGAATTCCCATTGCATTGCACCCATCCTGCAAATCCCCAGGCCAGTGTGCGCATCCACCGACATGCCGGAGCTGGGGCCCAGGCTGCCCTTTCAACACATGATGCCAGTTTGTGATTTGTTGACGTGTCTGTGATTGCGGTATAGTATGTCTCTGCTAGCAGCTGAGGTTCCTCCAGTGTCTGGACGGAAAAGGCTCCGGGACAGGCGCCGCTGAATGTGGGCTGGAAGGGCTTGTAGGTTCAGGAACCAGGGACCAATCATGGTGGATAAGCCAGAAACTAGGCCTGTTTGTTGTCCATGTCCAGTCCACGTGCTTCACTTGGCTGGCTGAAATGAACACAACATTCAGCGTGACAGCGTTGCCGCGTTGCCTTGAAGAGGTGACCACAGTTGACAGTTGGCATCAGTGTCACTTTACATTCCAAGGTAGCTCATTGAGGGTTGAGGATGAGTTCTGCCTAAGCTTGCATTCCTGAAGCAGCAACATATGTCTCCATTGCTCTGTTTATGTCTCAGGCTCCTTCCGGCCGTTCCGGCCGCCTCGCGCCTCACCTCCCTGAGGTTGGACCAGGCCCTGGCTATTGGCCACCCAATGCTGCGCAGCAAACGTGGACAGCTTCTTCTTAAAGGGAGTGTGGCTGGCCCGCTGAGGCCCTTAGTCTTTGGTCCTGACCTCTATGCTTGGAGTGACTGCATGATGCTTGATGCGTGACGCGTTCTTGCCCTCAAAAACTGTACCAGAATAGTGGCCTTTGACCTGTGAGACAGTTGACAACACACAATTGTTGATACAGGGTGACAAGGCACTTCGCTCTCTGTACTTGCCTATTCTGCTGTCTATATTACTGATATACTTTTTCAGCAAAAGCACCCACTTGTTAAGGAGCATTGTCTGACACTCAGTGACATGAGCCATGAGACTGGGCCAAGACAGTCTTGTCCGAGTCACTTTTTCCTGGGACTTATGGCTACACTTCTGTTCTTGACAGGTGCTGCTACAAGTCGATATTTCCAAGATGGTGCTGTCAAGAAGAGACAGCTTCTTCCAGTGTCACCTCTCATTGTCCATTTGTGCCAAGAGTTTGATGTGGACACGAAATTGTATGACAGACAGCGACGCAGCACTTTGCAGGTCCATGAGCATTCCCGGGGCAACTTGCCGACTGGACAGTATCCTGCGGATTTGCTGGTGATTTTGGTTGGGGGACAGGAGTATCGAGGAACATTGACCCCTTGGAACGCAGAAGAGCACGTGTTGCACCAGTACCACTTCGGGCAAGCCGACTGTTTTAGTTTGAAATGCAAGCACATCCTTGCGTTGCAGCCAGACTGCCTGAGACTGCACGCTGGTGCTCGCATGCGCCGGCCTTTGGCTGTGGCAACGAACGAGGTACTCCTGGAAGATCTTGCAACTGCAGCCAGTCAGTCAATAGATGATGTCTGTGTGCATTTGGAAATGTTCGCAGAAGATCTTGCTGCCTCCCTCAAATCTGCAGTGTTTCTGCAAGTCCCTGATGTTTTGTGGAACTGATGAGGAAAGGGGCTTGGACCACTGTGATGCTGAGGGCAAGTTGGGTGCCTTATGGAAATAAGAATAAAGCGGATTGCAAAAGGATTCTGGAAATGTTCACAGAAACAGGGTTTCCCAGTGCAGCTTTCTTAGCAAAGGCAAAGGCCATGCAACAGCAGGAGGAGAATGATCCAGGTGATGCTGCCATAGTCCAGCGGCGCTCAATCGGCTGGAGCTGGACTTTTGACCGCGCTGAGCGTTTGCTTCGCGATTTGCTTCGTTGGTCTGATGGAATTTTGGATGCTGCGAGGTCCATCAGTCCAGATCTTTGTGTAGAGGAGCAGATGCAATTGGAGCAGCATGTTCAAGCCTTGAAGCATTTTCTTGCAGGGAGACCAGACCACTCCGCCCAGCGAGTTGCATACTCCAAAGATCAACTGTCAAAGGCGCTGATTGCCTCCATGGGTTTGCGCTCAAAAGGCAACCTCCTTGAGACAGTCCAATGGGCCCTGAAATCTTTTCCAGATGCGGCTTTGCAAGCTTACGCTGATCATATGAAGTTGCCAAAGTCTTCTTCTCAAGGCAGGCATCAGCTAGACTTGGATGCTGCGTATTGTTGCTACTGGGCAGAAAGGAGGCTGCGGCACTTTGAAGGAGCAGCTTACTTGTGGTTGGATTCCTCGCCTCAGTGTGGCCAAGATTGGTTGTTAGCAATAGTCCGATTGATCAACAAGGAGGACTTGTCTGGTTGTGTTGAGAATGCAAAATTCCTTGTTGCTTCAGAGAAGACTCTGCTTGAGGCTGCTGCAAAAATTTCTTCAGAAGTTATGGAGAGTCCAACGAAAATCATGCAGCAGACAGCTCTTGAACGTTTGCGCGCGAGGCGATTTCTCCTGGAGCATGTGCAGCTCCACAGACTCATACCTACAGGTGTTGGTAAGGGCAGGGCCAAGATCGAGGACAAATGCAAAGCTTTGGCGCGGAAGCTTGTGGCAGAAACACAAGATCTGACGGTGCTCCGGCGCTTGCTTTCCCAAGTCAGTGGCTTTTGCACAGATGCTGGCGTTGAGATGAGTGTGGCGGATGTGGGAGGAGTCACACTTCATGACATCCTTGCTGATGTGTTCCCTGAGGGAATGCAGTCTGAAGATGTCTTCATGGATTTGCCTGCTGCAGATGAGGATTCACAAAACTACTTGTTTCCTGTTGCTGTCGTGTCCCCTGGAACATTGCATATCTATAACAACATGATGGGAGATATACACAAGCGCTTGGAGAAATGGGATGGATGGCTCTCTGGCTTGAAGGCGGTTGTGAGAATATTCAGCAACAACCATGTTCGACAAAGGTTCATTGGCACATGCATACTTGGGACAGACCATGCATGGCTTAAGCACCAGGCTGACTCCCAGATTCCAGAACCAGCTTCGTGGAGGTGGGGTTCCATCGAGGCTGCTGTAAAGGAGACATTGACGAAGCGGTTTGTGCTGAGGACAGCGTGGAACCCAGAAAAGTTCAAAGGCAACCTGGATGGAGTGCCAGCCCAGGCGGGGGATAGACCCAGAGATGATGATCTTGATGTTTCTGCCGTAACTCTCGCCGTGAGATCACCTGAGTGGTGGTTGTATACCAGAATGATTCTGGAGCTTCACCTTCTGGCAGGAGCAGTGAGACTGGTTTGAGGGCTGCCCTTGCCACAGCACAATTGGAGTGGACAAAGATGTGACCCTGATGCTGCAGACAGCATGTCATTCATTGAACATTCCATTTGAAGATGTCTTGTCGCGATGCCCCCTGCGTGGCATGCGAAGTCGGGAATTCGCAACAGGCGTGTTCTTTGATTTTTTCGACAATTCCGCTCGGATGTCACAGAGCCATGTCATCATGGAAGGAGCAGACGCTACGCCAGAGTCAATGCAGATGGTGATCTCCGAATTCAGTGAGGGCAAAACATTCATGGCCCAGTATCTGCAGTTGAAGCTGCAGTGCTGGAAAGTCCTGCCGTGGAACCTGGCATCCTTGACAAGCAGCGATCCCAATGAGGTGCAACAGTATGCAAAGAAGTTGCTTGCTGAGTGGGAGGCAGCTCCCAAAGACAAGAATTTGCACCATAGGCTGACGTGGCAATTGTTCGGCCAGCAAGGCAGCCTGGAGGACACAGAAGAGGTAGTCCAAGACCCAGCAGCTTTGCAGGAGTTGAAGCTTCTGGCATTGTCACCTGCAGAGTTGAGCCAGGCCAAGCACCCTTGTCTCTGGGCTACAGCGTGGAAGCTTGCCTTCCTGCCCACTGTTGAACGTATTCAGGAAGCTGATCATGGCCAAGTGAATCTGTTGGTGGGCAGACGAGATGTCAGTGGTCCTTATGTCAGTTGCGTTTTACGGCTGCCAGAGTTGAAGGCCTTAGCTTCCAACCTCACTGAATGGAATGCATTCCTGTCGCAGTTCAGCAAAATCACATGCGTAGATGAGCTCGCGAAGCGCTTGGGTTTTTTTCATTTGCCAGTGTGGCAACAGCTACAAGGCCAACGATTATCCGACAAAAAAGTCATGGCTGCCAAAGTTTTTTACATTCTTGATCCTGAATCACAATTTGCAAGTCTACAGAGGGTCCGGGCAAAGCGTGCCAAACATGATGCGAAGAAGAAGAAATACCGTGACATCTTCATGCAAGAGATTGGGCTGGTGGACAGATTCTCTCTGATCTCTCATTTCAGCTTGCAAACATTCCTTTATCCTTTTCTTATTTGGGTTCCATCTTTGAATGCTTTAAAATCTAATCCAGTAGTTGCAAGTTGCATAGGACAATGTCCCTCCCAGGCCCCCGGCTCCAAAGCCCCCAAACCCAACCTGAGTCACCTGAGGCTCTGAGGCCTGAGGCCCCAAACATATCCAAGCACGGCACGGCACGGCTTAGGAACCTGGTCTCAGCAGAACGTGGTCCGACACGCAGCTGCAGTTCATATGCAAGAAAGGATGGAAGAGGGGAGGCTCTATTCCATGCCGGCGTCAGCACTGAAGAGAGTTCTTGGGATCAATGACCGACCTGACCCAAATTTGCAGCAGCCTGTCCCTGGTGACGCACCCCCCCTACTGGAGTCAGTAGAGTCCTTGGAAGACATGCTGCTAGATGCCTCTGCCGACTCTGCCGAGCCTGCTGTCCCGCAACAGGACATCACCTTTTTCCGGTTGAGCTCATCCAGGGTAGGCCGGCACAGGCTCTTGCAGTTGCCAGCAGTTGCAGCCAAGTCCTTGGGCCAGACAGTGTTGGCAATCACAATTCATGATTGGTATGAGACTGCTTCTGGCTGCTTTGTGAATACCGAACCCATGGCTGCTTCTGGACTTTCTTCTGCCTTGGCTTTGATGTCTGCAGACTATGGGATGGATGTGCATCAGCTGCAGGATGCTTTGTCAGGAACACAAGAACTATTGTGTTATTGTTCGTGTCTATTTCTGATTTAAGACTTACGTTGTAATAAGACAGTGGCAGTTGCAGATTCCAGCAATCCAAAGTGCCCAGCCCAGGAGAGTCTTCAGTCATGGTCCACATGCAAGAAGATGGCATTCAACTTCAAGGGAATGAGAATGGACCCAGATGTTTCAGCCATTGCCGAGAAACTCATGCTGGCTGGAGCTTTCCCTGAATCCAGTCCAGACAAGCATGTACTCTTGCAGAAGTCAGATGCGCTCTATGCACCAGCCAAGAGGTTGGAAGACCAGGAGGTTTTGTGCAGCAAGATGCGTGATGGCAATTCATCCTTTTTTACCTTCAGCCAGAGCGGGCTTGCACGGGTTGTTCCTTCCCATGAGATCTGCGTTCCCAGATATGTTTTTCCTGATGCGACATCCTTGGCAAACCAAGCTTTGGAGAATCTGACCTCGTGGGAGCTGCAGCACCTTCTGACCGCGGAAGGGTTTACTCTTTGCCAACTTCCAAGAAGCCAAAAAGCCCGCAGGAAATTGCCTCCACACACACCTGATTGTGCTCAACAGATTTGGTACTGTCAGTCCACACCCTTGCAGCACAAGAGCGTGAGGGCCTACATGATCACATTGCTGCAAGCACCGGTTCTTTTTGAAGGGACTCTGCGCCGCATCCATCACGGAGAGACTTTTCAGTACCATGAAGCTCTTCTGGATCCAGAAAGCGCCGCAACTGGAGAGTTGCCTGAGCTTCCACAGCCACTTGCAGATTCAGGTCCCCAGCTCGAACCTGAACTGGACCCGCTGCAAGAGAACTCTGACTTGGCTCTGGCTCTGAAAGACAGGGTTAAGTCATCTCCAGTGGACAGGCAAAAGGCAAGACAATCCAGCAGGAGGCCACACCATCGCACTGTGAGCAAAGATGATGAAGATGAAGCAGTCTTCACCTCTGAGGATGATGATGTCGGTGCCAGCTGGCATGAGGAGCAGGAGCAGGCAAGTGACGAATGCCAACACTTGCTAAGACTTGTGGCTTGTGATCTAGGTTCCTGAGGTCCTGACTCCCAGCCTATCTCAACCCCTAGGCCCTAAACCCAGATTCCAAATATTGATTCTTTCTTGCAGGACTTGGACTTGCCATATTCACCATCGCAAGACCCTGATGATGGACAGGGTGGTGTGGGCTGGGATTCCCCTGGCCCTGTTCAGCGGCGGCGGCGGCGCTGTGTCCTCTAACCTCCCAGTGTCACAGGAATTCAATCCGGAACAGCCGTCCATGAGCCCAGTCCCAGACGTTCCACAGGGTGCAGACGCAGAGGACAATGACATTCCAGGTGAGTCAGAGCATGATGAAATCATGCAAGCTTTGCTGGAAGAAATGGCTTGCAGAAGTGAGGTCATGTCGTGTTCAGGAGAAAGGGACACTGCGGCTGATGATGCAGTGGACATGGACATGGACAGCTTGACATTGCATGAGCTTGCTGTGATGGGTCTGGATGGGCTGCGGCCACGGCCCCCGCCTGCGGCAGCGGCGCCGCTGCCCCCAGTGCCTTCGCCGGTTGACGAATCCACCTCCGCGCCATCTGGCTTGATGAGAGTTCGATCACAGAACCCAGATTCCTTCGAATGGGGTACTGGTTTTCGCTTTACATGGTCCCCTCCCAGCAAACGGCCTCCTTTTGGTTCTTGGCAATGTCTGTGCAGGTTCCACAAAAAGAGCCATGTAACAATGTGCACGAGGAGCATGAATGTGCCTTCTGGAGATCAGGAGGCCAAAGATAAGATTCGTCGTTTGTTGAAACTTTGGGCCTTGCAGGCTCCAAAGCACAAGCGAAAGTTTACCCATGGCAACGTCAGCGTTGCTTGGAGTGATGATATGAGTGAAGAGCTCTTGGATGCCAAGGCTGCTTTGCTCCCAGCACCACCGTACAATGTAATGCCTGACGATGAGCTTGACGCGCTTGATGATGATGAAGAACTTGCAGGCGCAGATCATGCCTCAGAGGGGCCGGGGCCTGGGCCTGGGCCTGGCCCTGGGCAAGATCCGCCATCCAGAGCAAAGCGGAGGCGGTTGCCAAAAGCCAAAGCCAAACCAAAATCTCTTGCCAAGGCCAAGTCGAAGTCCAAATCCAAGTCCATGCCAAAGCCAAAGAAGAAACCCAAGGCCAGAACCAGCAGAACCTCCAACAATGCAGCAGCTTCAAATTCAGTGTCGATGCCGCCAGTAGACGAAGCAGCATCAGACCCGAAAAGCGATGGCAGCGATGCTTTGTCTACTTCTTCATCATCAGATTCAGAATCATCAAGTTCATCTTCATCTTCATCTACCTCCAGCTCCTCAGCTTTGGACGCCCAGAGCTCCTGAGTCACTTGCGCATGCGTGCAGCTTGACCGTCCAGGAACCTGTGACTCCTGAGCCTGCTTGCCCAAATGACTCAAATGAGCATTGTGCATCGCATGGACCCCAGCACGCGGAAACTTTTCCTGCAAAGGCGAGAATGTGAGCAATCCCACGGCCCACGGCTACTCTTAGCTACTCTTATTCTAGTTTCGCCGCCACCACCTGGTAGTACTAGTACTACTACTACCACTACTAGTATGACTACGACTATTCTGTAGTACAACAACAACAAGAAGAACAACAACTACTATTACTACTACGACTACTTCTACTACTACTACTACTACTACTACTCCTACTACTACTACTACTACTACTACTACTACTACTACTACTACTACTACTACTACTACTACTACTACTACTACTACTACTGCTACTGCTACTGCTACTGCTACTGCTACTGCTACTACTACTACTACTGCTACTGCTACTGCTACTGCTACTGCTACTGCTACTACTACTAGTACTACCAGCGCTACTAGTAGCTACTAGTACTAGTACTAACTACTACTACTACTACTACTACTACTACTACTACTACTACTACTACTACTACTACTACTACGACTACTACTACTACTACTACTACTACTACTACTACTACTACTACTACTACTATTACTACTACCACCTAGACTAGAGATGTTGCGTTCAATGTAGTGTTCTTCAAGGTATTCCTTGTGTCCGACTCACTCAGTCTTTTGGCTGTGCTTGTGGCCCTATAAGGTTTTGTGGACAAAACATAAGTCATAAGTCTGCAGCATGGTGGCATCTCGGACCTGACCAGCAAGAACCCTGGAACCCTCAACCCTAAACCCTAAACCTTAAACCGAAAAACTACCCAGGACCACCGTGGACAGAACATAAGTCTTAAAGGGCAAGGGTTTTCGGGATTTCTCAGCGTTTTCCAGATTTTCCGCTTTATTCAGCTTGATCTCAAGATTTTCGGCCCAGGGGGCAAGGGCGGCAAGGCTTCAGAAAACATGGCAGAAAATCCATCATGACCCATGAAGGCACCCATTTTCACTCATCGGGCGCGGTTCGGGCGCGGTTCGGGCGCGGTTCGGGCGCGGTTCGGGCGCGGTTCGGGCGCGGTTCGGGCGCGACGCGGTTCGGGCGCGGTTCGGGCGCGGTTCGGGCGCGGTTCGGGCGCGGTTCGGGCGCACGCGGTTCGGGCGCGGTTCGGGCGCACGCGGTTCGGGCGCGGTTCGGGCGCACGCGGTTCGGGCGTGGTTCGGGCGCGGTTCGGGCGCGGTTCGGGCGCAGGGCGGTTCGGGCGCGGTTCGGGCGCGGTTCGGGCGCGGTTCGGGCGCGGTTCGGGCGTGGTTCGGGCGCGGTTCGGAGAAGGCGCTTGTGGGCGCCCTGAAGGTTGAAACACAGGGCAAATATAGGCCAAGGACGGAAATTGTTTTTTAGGGCGCCTTAGCCGCCAAGACGAAATATTTAAAAAAAACAGCGAAAGCACGGAAAAAACAAGACAACCAGCAAAACAGCAAGCTACTTAGGAACTTTAGAAAACAATGAGGCCCGCAGGGCCCGGATAACCCGGATTCGGGACCAAATTTCCTTATCGCAATCTTCCGTGGCAGGCCCGGCCCCGCCCCCTGCTCCGCGCTGGCTGCTGGTTGGACTGGCTACTGTCTTCAGTGCAGGAGCCCGAGCTCTAGCTGCTACAGAGTAGGTGGTGCTACACGAAGAAGCAGCTTGTGGAATGGAGAGTCAGCTGTGCATGTTTGCTGTATCTTCGTAGCTTCGGTCGCCATCAAGCAAAATGGAAATGCTCCGTAGCCAAGGAACAAAGACAAAGCCTAAAGCGTAGATTCTCAGAGTCTCAGAGTCTCAGAGTCTGCACTGCAGTGAGTCTACTGACTACTGACAAGATGCTTGATAAACTCACAGACATCGCTTTTAAGACAGATGGCTTTCTTGATGTCAGAAGATTCATGGCTGGAAGAGCTGAGCCTGACCCAGCCGCAAGCCCCAGCTACAGCTGAGCAGTCAGATGACTTCTGCCAGCGGTTTTTGCAGCGCCTGGCCAAATTTCATCTTGGTGACACCAGGTTGGATCTACGGCTGGCCAAGAATTTAGGCAGGGGCCTTTCTTTGACAACTGAGTATTCTGGCATGGGTACGGCAGAAGAAGCCATGCGGCAGATCACTGAGTGCCTGAAGCAGAAGCTCATGCTTGAGAATGAGAATGCTTTGCTTGCAGAAATGGAACAAGCGCAGTGGCAAAGCGAGCACGCCACGGACAACAACAAGCACTGCAGATGTGTTCTCATGCATCATGATGAGCCTTGGAGGGCCCAGTGTCTTTTTGGTGATCTGCAGGAACGAATCCCTGCCTTTGCCTTGCAGGCTTTGGAAGCGAAACGGAAGGAGTTGTTGGACACGCTGGGGCTTGGTCGAAAGCGGAAGGTGAGTGCTGAGCTTTCCGAGGCAGTGGTTGCACATGGCCGCCGATTCATATCAAGTGCCGTGACTATGATTTGCATGAACATGGAGCAGCGCCCGAAGGGCCATTGCTATCGTCGTGGTGAATCTTGCTACATTTCTCCTGCTGGCATCCCCACAGCCGCACTCCACTTGAATTGTAGTGGCTTGAACTGCTATGACTGGTCAACCATGGGCCTGGGCTTGAAGTTTCTGGGTGAATCCGCCTTGCCTTTCGCAGCCTGGTGTGCCAGCATGAAGCAGATGGTTCCAGATGTCATCATCGCTGAATGCACGCAGACCTTCGATTTTGATCATCTCCGCACGCTCCTGCAACCAGAGTATCCATCAGAAAGAAGCTTGGAATTGAGCATCAGCCCTCATGATCTTGGAGAGCCACTGACACGCAACAGGAAGTACATGTTGTTTCTCAGCCAGCGCTGCTGCTGGATGGTCCCTGGTTGTGATGGAAGCCAGGAGAAGGACGACACGCAGCAGACGCTTTCCAGTTTTTTCCAGCAGCTTTTCAAGCATCAGGAAGCTGTATTGGCACCATGTTCAAAGTTCAGGGCCCCGCCCGAGACAGTGCAGGCTCATGTGAGGAAGTTGGCGCAGAAGAATCACCTGCCGCCTACAACCACTTCAGGGCGTGAATGGTCTTACGCACAAGCATGCACAGCTGCCACACGAGCCATGGTGCAACAGCACAAGGAGTGGGTGGAGAATCATGTCCGGGAGACAAAGATTTCCTTTGATCCGTATCAGTGGACAACCAATTTGTCGCAGTCACCGGAGCACATGCATCCCAACAAGGGCTTCGTGCCAGCGCTTTTGAGAAGGTCCAGTCTGTACCTTTTTGGGCAAGGGCGGGCAGCTGTGCCTTTAGAATACCTGGAATGCCAAGGCTGGAATGTATTCGGCGAGCGTGGCGTTTCAAGCCTGCGCAGGCTTGACGTGTCAAGAACTGGTGCTGAATCTGCTGGACAAACACGGAGCTTGTTGGCATGCTTTGAAGCCCTTCCCCAGATGGTCCTGCAAGAACTTGCAGGAAATGGCATGCATCTCCATGTCATAACGGCTGTGGTCATGTTCTCCTTGGCTTGCGTCGCGAAAGAAGATTAAGTTTTTTGTCATGTACAGCAACATGCATTCCGCCAGACAGGGTGAGCGTGCCTTCAAAATGAGAGTGGATGGTGTAGGTTGCAGTTTTCTTACATGTCTGTTGCACTACGTCATGTCATGCAGGTCGTGCAAGTCCCAGTGCTGCAATTTGCGCCTGAGCACGGAACCCAAGTCCCAGAACCTTACGCCCTTCATACCCTTGACTTCCAACCCACGCGGGTCCTGCCAGAGTCTTAGACCAAGCCACCAAATGTGCCTTCAGGCTGTGACCTTCTTGTCTCCTCTGCTGCCAGCCTGTCTGGTCCGGTCCACAGTGCAAGGCTTCATTCTCCTGTGCACTGCAATTGCACATGTCCCAACTTGTGAGACATGCGGTGCAACAGCCAACAGCTGTGACAGGTTGTGCAAAAAGTGCATTGTTGCTTGCACATGGACTGTGTTACTGTTCATGTCTGCTCCTTTGGCTTGCGTTACAAAGTGCATTGCGAGTCCCACAGCCCACAGCCTTGACAGACCCAAATCTTTAAACCACAAGCAAGCAGTGCACAGTGGTCTCGGACTTTGCAGGCCCATGGCCCATGCCCTGCCCATGCCAGGTATGACACAGGTCATAGGTCATAGGAGTGTCAGTAGTCAGTAGTTGCAAGGTCCGGCTGGGGCAAGGTCGTTGAGTTTTGGACCTTGGAGTTGTCAGAGCATCTGCAAGCCTGCAAGCCATTGCCATAAGCCATGGAAGCGCCAGTGGATGAGTTCCATTTGTCTCCGGATGGTCCGGATGGAGACGAGGAAGATCCTGATGAGCTTGATTCCAAGGAGAGTCAAAATACCGTAGAAAGCAAAGCTGAGAGGAAAGCCAGAAAGAAGAATGAGCAAAAGATGAGGAAAAAGCAAGCGAAGAGCGAGCAAGAATCCGTGAGTCAAGATGGCAATGGCAAGAAGAGGGGAAAGAAGGCGAAGGGAAAAGAAGAAGCTTCCAAGAAGAAGGCAGCCCAGGGCAAGCGCAGGGCCAAGAAGGCAGGCCCAGGCCCAGCTGACCCCAAGCCCAAAGTCGTTGTCAGAGGAGCTGCTGATGAGCATGAAGGGTGGCGAAAGTGCAACCTGTGCAAGAAGTGGTTGGAGGTAGCAAACTTCCATGATGATCAGTGCAGATGCAAGGAATGCTACAATGGCGCCCGTGCTTTCCAACGCCTGTCGAAACGACAGGAGTGTGAGGAGAGAGTGAAGAAAGTCAGTGCCTGCGAGCCACGAGTGATGGATGAAACTTTGAGAACGTTCGTCAAAGAACGCAACCGCCTGAAGACTGTTGGCGAAAGGATCGTTTTCAACATAGTCGAATTCATGGTGCGCGTCCGCAAGTCGGAAGGAACAGCGTGTGAACGAATCTATGAGATGATGTGGCAGCGGGAATACCTGGAGTGGGCATGTGGCACGGCTACTGGACTGCAAAGTTGGAGTGATGTTGCAGTAAGCAGTTGGTCAAGAGAAAACCCAGCATGGCCCAGCACAGCACATGCCTGACTCCTGACATGCCATGCGCGCTGAGGCCAAAGGGGGGTACTTGACAAAGGAGGAGGCGCAGGCAAATTGGGATGCCTGGAGCAGGGATCCAGCGCATCCTCGGGACCAAAAGGGCCCGCGGCAGTTCCTACGCTTGAGGGTATGTTGGCTATGTTTATGAGTGAAGCATGTGCATGATTTTGTTTCATGATCTTGATGCTCCACTGCTGCAAGTTACACATGTCCATGATTCATGATATTCAGGTCTGTGTCAAGGACCAGATCAGGGACTACAGTGACATGGCCAAGGACAGAATCTTGGAGAAGACCGAAAGAATTTCCAAAAAGTCTGCCCAGAACCAGATCCTCATGGCTGACCGCTTGAAACTAGTCGTGGCTGGAGAAGCTGGCGGTGCTATGAACCAACTAGATCCTGCTGGCAAGCAAGAACAAAGTAGCTGGCTTCGCTTTAGTGAAGCATTGTCTCCATGATGTGTCATAGGGGCTGCTCCGGCGCAACAATCATGAGACCCATGTTTCTGTTCCGTTTACTCCTTGCATCACGTCGCCCAGGTCTTTCCAAGGCCCATGCGCAGACAATGGCTTTCGACGAAACAGAGGCTGCGACTGATTTGATCCAATTGGACCCTGAAGAAGTTCTGGATGGTATTGAGAAGAAGCGGCGTCGCAGCAGCCGAGGCTGGGGCCATTGGCGTTGGGCCATTGAGTAACATGCTAACACATTTCCCAACCGGATTGTTCTCCTCTCATCATTACAGGCGCTCCGAAAGGAGATGAGTCTGAGGATTCACATGAAAGCTCCGAGGACAAGAAGGACGGGGCAGAGAGCAGTGACGAAGAGGCTGGGCCCTTGCACTTCAACGTTGTACAATTTCTGCTGCGTGAGCCTGTGAGAGGGAATCATGAGCCATGAACCTGATGTTTTCTATACAGCTTCAAGTTTCCACATGGACACAGCCCTGTTTCCACAGGAAGGCAAAGGCAAAAAGGCCAAGGTCAAGAAAGAGAAGAAGGAAGAGTGGATGGATGAAACAAAAATCACAGCTCAGGAAAGGATGTGGAGTGCTGCTGTGCAGGCCTTGGAGGTTCTCAAGACTCAACTTTGCGAAGAAAGTTTGGAGACTTTGCAGGAATTCCGGAGCAAGCCCAACAAAGCCTTGTTCGTGAAGGAGATGTCTTTGCTGGACAAGAGGCGGTCTTGGCTGGAAGCCACAATGAAGGGAACCATAGGCGCCAAGATCGATGAGCAAAGGGATGCAGCCATCTCAGACAACTCTGGCTCATGCGCACGCACAACAACTTCCGATGAGACAGCCATGACTCGGGCAGCACCCTGCCCAATGTGGGACAGCTTGAAGTCATTGGACGACTTGAGGGCCATGGCCGGGAAGTACCGGGCTTGCAAATCACAGCAGGCGTTGACTGATGTGACAAACCAGCTGAGGGAACAGAAAAGGATTCAAATGCTTCTTGTCTCCGCCACAAGGGCCGCCTTGACGGACCTCAATGGAGCGAACCGGCGTGTTATTGCGCAAGTGCAAAGAGATGCAGAGAAGCAGAAGAAGGAAGAGGAGAAAAGAAAAAGAGACGAAGCAAAGGAGAAGAAAGACAAAAAGAAAAAAATTCCAAAGATTGTGAGTGGCACTCATCCACTCCTCCAGGCTGAGCTGATGTCAGATAAGCAGATCGAGATGCCAACCTACCAGGAGCATTGGAACACAAGCGAAGAAGCAGCAGCGTCAGAAGCGCTTCTCTTCAAGCCATGGGTGAAGAGAGCAGGTCTGCCAAATCTTGAAGAAGAGAATGTGCTCAAGAAGGATCTTGATGAGTTTTTGAAGGCATTCAAAACTTCGGCTTTGCGAGTGACAGAGGGAAGGGCAACGATGTCAGTGCCAAGCCACGCAGGTGTCTTCAAGCGCATGGGTTTGGATGAGAGTTGGCTGCTTGGGCTGAAAGACTTGCAGATGGTCCAAAGCCAGCTGCTGCCAAACAAGCCTTTGGTGGCGTCAGATCTCGTGGTCAAGGCGTTCAATCCGGCCTTGTTTGCCATCGCGGAGAACCATGTGGGGATGTCCAAATACGAACCTGGGCTGCTGGGCAGCCTCCGCCTCCATACTTCGGGCATGTGTTTGATTAGCGTGTGGCTTCCAGATGAGCTTTTTGCCGCCGGTTGTCCAGTTGATCCGAATGGCAATGTGATGGGAGATCACTGCGGGAAGGTCGCAAAGGCAAGCGAGCAGCAAGTCAGAGAAGCTGGGTCGAAAGGTAGGTTCTACATGGGCACCATCGCTGCTGGCGACCTCTTATATGTTCCTCCCGGGGCATTGGTCTCACACCAGGCTGGGTTTCCAATGAGTCCATTCACGTTACCTTGCATTGCATTGCAGCGCAGCGCATGTCACCACGCCACACCTGAGAAGTCACGTAACTTGTCAATGTTTGTTGTTGTTGTTGTTGTTGTTGTTGTTGTTGTTGTTGTTGTTGTTGTTGTTGTTGTTGTTGTTGTTGTTGTTGTTGTTGTTGTTGTTGTCGTTGTGGTGGTTGTTGTTGTTGTTGTTGTTGTTGTGGTTGTTGTGGTTGTTGTGGTTGTGGTTGTGGTTGTGGTTGTGGTTGTGGTTGTTGTTGTTGTTGTTGTTGTTGTTGTTGTTGTTGTTGTTGTTGTTGCTGCTGTTGTTGCTGTTGTTGCTGTTGTTTGCTGTTGTTTGTTGTTGTTTGTTGTTGTTTGTTGTTGTTTGTTGTTGTTTGTTGTTTATTGTTTGTTGTTGTTTGGTGTTGTTTGGTGTTGTTTGGTGTTGTTTGGTGTTGTTTGTTGTTGTTTGTTGTTGTGTGTTGTTGTGTGTTGTTGTTTGTCGTTGTTTGTTGTTGTTTGTTGTTGTTTGCTGTTGTTTGTTGTTGTTTGTTGTTGTTTGTTGTTGTTTGTTGTTTGGTGTTGTTTTCTTTGTTCTTTGTTCTTTGTTCTTTGTTCTTTGTTCTTTGTTCTTTGTTCTTTGTTCTTTGTTCTTTGTTCTTTGTTCTTTGTTCTTTGTTCTTTGTTCTTTGTTCTGTGTTCTGTGTTCTGTGTTCTGTGTTCTTTGTTCTTTGTTCTTTGTTCTTTGTTCTTGGTTCTTTGTTCTTTGTTCTTTGTTCCTTGTTCTGTTCTTTGTTCCTTGTTTTTTGTTCTTTGTTCTTTGTTCTTTGTTCTTTGTTCTTTGTTCTTTGTTCTTTGTTCTTTGTTCTTTGTTCTTTGTTCTTTGTTCTTTGTTCTTTGTTCTTGTTCTTGTTCTTCTTCTTGTTCTTCTTCTTGTTCTTCTTCTTGTTATTCTTCTTCTTCTTCTTCTTCTTGTTGTTGTTGTTGTTGTTGTTGCTGTTGTTGTTGTTGTTGTTGTTGTTGTTGTTGTTGTTGTTGTTGTTGTTGACGTTGACTACCTTGCAGCATGTGATGTGATTGCTTTTGAGTCTTGAGCCATGTTGTGGAACTGTGTGTGTGGCAGTGGAGCGTTATTAAACTTATGAGTCTTGTAATCCTGTTGCCTGTTGCTCGCGTTGCTCCATCACTGTCCTCGCAGGTGCAAGGCCAGGGGGATGTGGGTGGCGCCAGGATGCCAGTGCTGCATTTCCAGTTGCGGCAGAGAATGGCTGACCTGGGGCGTGCTGTGGCTAAGCAAATCCTGGGCAAGACTCTTGCAGAACTCAACCGCATCCTCGAGGGCTTAATTGCCGTGGATGACGCAGACACAGATCCAAAGAGACAAAAAGAGGCAGAAGAGGAGGCCAAGCTGAAGGTGAACCAAGAAGCTTTCCAGAAGCAAGCTGAGGAAGATCCCCAGCAGAAGAAGGCTACGGAGGACGCAGAGCGAAAGAGACAAGAAGAGGAGGCCAAGAAGAGGGCCATTGTTCTGTGCCGCATGTGCCATTCGGTGTTGGTGATTGCAGTGGGAGTACCTGCAGCCTGCAGCCTGCAGCCTGCAACCAGGTTCTCAGTTTCATGGCGAAAACTTCCAGTAGGTAGCCAGGTAGTGCTCGAGCCTTTGTTTTGCCATTCACTTCTTCAGCCCTTCCGTTTTTTCTGGAGCTTCCCTGTCAAGCCGGCATCATGGAGAAGCAGAAGCAGTCCGAGCCGGGCCACCCTGCATGTTGCACCGAAAGTCGCGACCTGATCAAAGCGGTTGTGTGCCGAAAGGCGCCGCCGAATGGGTTTTGAGCCGAAAGGCGCTGCCCGACAAGAGCTAAGCGGTAGTGTGCCGAAAGGCGCCACCGAATGGGTTTTGTGCCGAAAGGCGCTACCCGACAAGGCGGTTGTGTGCCGAAAGGCGCCACCGCGTGGGTACTGCGCTGAATGCAGGCGTTACTTGACGAAGGCGCCTCTGGGCGCTGTGCGGATAGAGCACCAATCGCGCGATTGCTGCCCTGGACTTCGCCAGCCCTCGAGGCTGTTTTAGGGTTAAAAGGTTTGGGGCTCAGCTACAAGGAGCATCCATATCGCCATTGTTTTTGCGGGGCTTGTTGGTAGCATTATAGCCTATAGCCCAGAAGCTCCATCCTTGAAAAGGCGTGGGGGCTTGGGTTTCTTCAGCTTCGGGGATAAGAAAATGCCTCAGTGTAACATCTGGCCCTGTACAGGGCCGAAGCTTCAGGGCTTCAGGGCTTCTGAGACTCTGGTGCGGACCAAGGTGACCAAGGAGCTCTCCAGAAGCAAGCCGCTGAGGAAGAAGCCCAGCAGAAGAAGGCTACGGAGGACGCAGAACGAAAGAGACAAGAGGAGGAGGCCGCCAAGAAGAGGGCGGACCAAGAAGCTCTCCAGAAGCAAGCTGAGGACGCCAGGCAGAAGATGGCTGCGGAGGTGGAGGACACAGAACGAAAGAGACAGGAAGAGGAGGCCAAGAAGAGGGCTGACCAAGAAGCTTTCCACCAGAAGCAAGCTGAGGAAGCCAGGCAGAAGATGGCTACGGAGGAGGAGGATGCAGAACGAAAGAGACAAGAAGAGGAGGCCAAGACCAAGAAGAGGGCGGAGCAAGAAGCTCTCCACCAGAAGCAAGCTGAGGAAGCCAGGCAGAAGATGGCTGCGGAGGCGGAGGACACAGAACGAAAGAGACAAGAAGAGGAGGCCAAGAAGAGGGCTGACCAAGAAGCTCTCCACCAGAAGCAAGCTGAGGAAGCCAAGCAGAAGATGGCTGCGGAGGCGGAGGACACAGCACGAAAGAGACAAGAAGAGGAGGCCAAGAAGAGGGCTGACCAAGAAGCTCTCCACCAGAAGCAAGCTGAGGAAGCCAGGCAGAAGATGGCTGCGGAGGCGGAGGACACAGAACGAAAGAGACAAGAAGAGGAGGCCAAGAAGAGGGCTGACCAAGAAGCTCTCCGCCAGAAGCAAGTTGAGGAAGAAGCCCGGCAGAAGCAAGCTGAGGAAGCCAGGCAGAAGATGGCTGCGGAGGCGGAGCACACAGAACGAAAGAGACAAGAAGAGGAGAACAAGAAGAGGGCTGACCAAGAAGCTCTCCAGAAGCAAGCTGAGAAGAAGGCTACGGAGGACGCAGAACGAAAGAGACAAGAGGAGGAGGCCGCCAAGAAGCGAACCCACCAGGAAGCTCTCCAGAAGCAAGCTGAGGAAGAAGCCCAGCAGGCGGAGGCGGCGGAGGCTGCAGCGGCTGCAGGGCAGAAGATGGAGACGGATTCGGAGAAGAAAGAAACACCTGCGTCGTTGGCGCTTAAGAAGCGGCTGTTTCTTTCGGTGGCGGAGGCGGCGGAGGCGAAGGCCCAGGCCAAGGTCGCCCCCACGGCCCCCAGTAAGGAAGATCAGAAACAGAAGCGAAGCAGGAAATGATGCGTCATGTCCGTCATGTCATGAAAGGTCCCGGGCCGATGGTCCCGGCCCCCGGCTTAGCAGAGCTGAGTTTTTTGAGTTTTGGAGTACAGTAGAGTGGTATGAGGCTCGAGGTAGAGCACGATGCAGCGCAGCGCAGGTCAGAATTGCAGTTGAACACACTCCCTGAAGGCCCTGAATGACTGAACGCAAGCCCCCCTGCAGACAGCTGCGCTGCAAAATGTCCATGCTCCTGCAAAGGTCAAATGTCTTTTGTTCACATCAGGCTTGCCTTGCTGTGTCAGTGGGAATTGCTGCTGGGTTGGGGCTAGAGCTCTGAGCAAATGCAACAGTACAAGTTTATACTTATTTGCAGGGTTGCTATTGGCATACTTGGCGTATCATCTTCCACGTCCAAGTCAAGCAGCAATGGAACCCGCAGACAGCAGGGATGCCAAAGCTGATGCACCGCAATCGTGCCCGCAGTGGCTTTGCAAAAGTTGTGAGTTTGCTCTGTGCCGCCGTCCATTATCTTCAGCTTGCTCATGCGTGAGCCGCGTTTGACCAGTTTTAGTTTATTAACTTTGTGAGACACACGCCCCTGATTGCAGGTGTGTCTGTGCTGCGCGGCACAAAAGGTTGCCACGCCATGGGCCGGGCCACACCCTTGGCTTTCAGACAGAGAATGTGCAGACAGTTTTGATTGCAGTTCCGGACTTCAGGCTGCTTGAGGCTGTGAGAACCCAAGTGAAGTGTGCATCGCTGACCATGCCCAATGCCCAGGACCCAAACTTGTGGGGCTGATGGCTTCAGTCAGTTAGTGCCAAAAAGTAGTTGCGACAGCAAATGCGAGCAACAACCAATTGCCAATCTCAGCTGCAAAACAACACCTGCCTTCTCATGAGTTAAAGTTTCCTGTCTGTGGGAGGGGAGGGCACATGATGGCAACAGGTAATCCTGGGGCAATGAGAGGCTTGCGCCGCCGCAAGCACATGGAGCTGGAGGAAGAATGTGATTTGGAGACAGCCAAGATGGAGTTGCAGCTGCACCTGCGTTTGGCCTCTGAGAAGGCGGAGGAAATCACAGAGGCCACGGACGCATTGTTCAACATGTGCTTGGCGGCAGAGAGCACATGTGTGGGCGTGGATGACTACATCAGTCTTGATGGTACAGACGCCAGTGATGCCAACATGGAAGTCAAGGCCCACGTCATTCACTTGCAGCAGAAGGCTCGCCGACTTGCAAAGATTGCTCACGTGCTGAATGACAGTGCCAATGTGTTGACGCAGATCCTGTACAGATCAGAGAAACGGATCAAGCAAGCAGTAGCAAGGGTTGGCAATCCGCTCAAGCCTGCAGCCTGCAGCTCCAATTCTGTTTGTTCTAGTTCTGATGATGCATCCCGAACCTGAGCTGCTCGAGCTGCGAGCCTGAGCCACTTCCATTTCACATTGCCCGGCAGGGGGCAGGGCCTGGGGTTGCTTCTTATTCTGCTGTGTCTTCTGATGCCCCGGGGGCCTCAGCCGCGGCCTATCCAGTTCAAAGGCTCCGTTCGTAGTTTTGTCTGCGCCTGTCTGCACGGGGAAAGCAGGCGGCCAAAGATAAAAAGTTGAGGGAGGGTGTTTTTTTTGCAGTCATGGAGACACGCTTGATCATTGTCTTTGGCATGGCTAACAGCTGGTAATGCATGGTTGTCCAGTGGAGCAAGAACTTTGCCTTTGCCTAAGTAACGCTGCAGCAGCAGTGATGGTCTCAAGGGGTTGTGACTCTGTGACTTTGCCCAGGCCTGCGGCCTATCAGCGTGCAGGCCAAAAGAAGGCAAGGCTGTTATGTTTGATGATGAGTTTGATGTAATGAGCGCTGAGCACTGCTTTGGAACACACGCCTTTTGCCTTCAGTTGGATCTTGGACGAGCGGTGTTCTCATCCTGGGCCAGGGTGGCCCGGGCTTCCTTTAGGCGCAGTCGTGTCAGGTGTCAAGGGTCAGCCCATGTGCGTGCGCAACACTAATTGAGCCAGCCAGATCCCTGGCCCTGGCCATGGCATGTTTTGCTATCCAGAATTGCAATATCAAGATCATCTTGCAGCAGCATCCTGGGCCTGCGCCTGGGCCTGGGCAGCCTTGGCCTGATGAGCAGGCCGGTGGTGGACGCAGAAGCTGTCCAGGCCCAGGCCACCCAGGCCATCCCCATGCCAATGACAGCTCCAACTCCGACTCCAACTCCGACAGTCCCTCGACAGGTCCACCTCCAGCTCCATTGCCACATCCTGATGACACACAGTGTGGTCGCCGCCGCCGCAAAAGAACCCAAGAAGGGAAAGGCAAGCCGGGGGAGAAGGCGGGGCGTGTCGGGTCAGCGCAAGAAATGTTTCGCTTTTTCTTTGATGCAACCACACATTGGAAATCTGTGCAGTGTGCAGCGTGCAGGACAAGAAAAAGCTTCGCAAGTTGTGGATGCAATGGCATGAGCAGCAAGTTCTTGCTGAGTCATTGAAGAGCTCTGAAGCATGCGCTGTTGGGCAGGCCCATGTCGTTGGTAGAGCACTTCAATTGAGACCATGACACATGACACTCATGACGCTTCATTTAACTTGGATTATGAATCTCCTTCGTTGCCTTCTCTGGCGGTGGTTTGTGGCCCAGAGTTTGAAGTCTGGAGGTTGTTCTTGCTGTCCACATGGTGTTGCTTATAGGTTCTAGTGCCTACCACGTCGCACCGCGCTAGAGAGCATGGCAAGTCTCCCGTCTCCCTTATTGTCATTGCTTCCTTGTGGTTGAGTCCAGTCGTTTTTGCCATCATCGTTATGCAATGATAGTGGTAGTGGTAGTGGCAGTGGTAGTGGTACTGGTACTGGCATTGGTAGTGGCAGTGGTAGTGGTAGTGCTGTTGACGTGCGGTGGCGGGCCGTGTTACTGTTGAGAATTTGCCGTAGTCAGTTGTTGTTCTTGCTGTTGCGGGTTTAGGGTTTAGGGTTTAAAAGTTTAGAGTTTGAGTGCTTTGCTAGTGTAAGGGATAGCTGGAGTAAAGCTGAGGAGGTTAAGAAAGTCAAACAGCCAGGGAGGAGGACCCAAGAACCCCGCACCGTGCTGGGCATAAAACAGCCAGGGAAGGAGACCCAAGAACCCTCGATAAAGAAACAGCCAGGGATGGAGGCCCGAGAACTCCCGCCCCAAAACATCAAATAGCCAGGGAAGGAGCCCCGCCAGCCACTGAGCCAATGTCAGTGCGCAGCGCCCTGGCCCTCACACGGAAAAAAAAGTGAATAGTGAATAGAGGGCCATGCAACAGCGGACACGTGCAGAATCTTGACTTACCTGCAAAGATGATTCGGCGCAAGTGGCCTGTGACCAGTGTACTAAAGGACATCCGCCTATTGTCCACATGACGGCAATGCTTTGCTTTTGCAGGTGATTTCCGCGACAATGAGCGCTGTGGCAAATTCAGCGCTGCAGTAGTGCAGCAGCTGCAGCATCTTGCTTTTGTCATTGCAAATGAGCAGCCATGCCAACAGCCATGCGACCATGCAGGTTGTGGTGGTGAATGCAAAGCTTAGCAGCCACATGTTTATGTCATGTTCGCCTGCTGCTCTCGCAGCAGCCATTCCATCTCGTGCTCTCACAACACATCTGTGACACTATGCGCACATGGCACAGGCTCTCACAGGTGTTCCTATGCACTATGCACTCTCACACTCACAGTAGCAGCATTTCAATATTTCTGCGTTGCTATTTGCTGGCTGCCTGCTTTCCTTCTAGTGTGACACTGTCCTGCTGAATGTGTGTGTCCCACACAATGCCTACACACCGTCCGTAGCACAGCATATAATGCATAATAGCGCAATTTCCTTCTCGTGTGATTTTACGGTTCTTTTTTTTCCGATCCATTTCAACACAGGCTGCAAGGGCTGATCTGAGGCAGTTTTTTTAGTTG